CGGAAGGAGGTCAGGGGAAGGGGCGTGGTGTCATCTTCACCCGCCAACAAGTTGGAACCTTTCGTGTCGGTCATGTGACATCCGACGGACTCTTCATAGTGGAGAAACCTGATTGGACTCCCAGAGATCACCTGATCACCTCACTGGTCCCGAACCCCACATAGGTAGAAACATACCAACCTACATACATGACTACGCGAACCAACATGGGAGGGCCCCACAGGGAGATCTACATGCATGAAATGAATGGTAAGAGCCGCGCTGTGAATGAGACGGCAGAAGTGTCACATATAGTACATACTGACCTTGGAGTAATGTGATACAATGTGTAGAAAATGAATGAAGAAACGCATGTGTGTGACATGCACTGCAGTGTAAATAATAAATGGTTAAACAATGTCCATGATCCCGGATCTTCAATAGTCCAATAAGTAAATAGAAGATAAAACATTGGATGTGGAGCAGACTCAGTACCTGGTTATAATTAGAGGAACATCCCTGGGGGGTCTCTGCTAAGCCCTCGTTCACACCTCGGCGTATTGCATATGCGCGATTCGCGGTAAAAAGTTGCGTGACAAACGTGCGTTTCCGAAGGCTACTTGGCTGTATCCCAATGGAAACGCAACAAAACGGCCCAAAGTAGTCCCGGGACCTTTCCAGGCGCGGGCCGCTTTGTAGCGCGTTAGGGACGGGCGCCGAGGTGGGAACCAGACCATTGCATACAATGCGATTTAGATGTTTGAGCGTTTTGTAGAGCGTTCGCCGAGCGTAGAACCCGCCACAGAACGTTCCGGTGTGAACGAAGGCTTAAGGTGAGGTGCGTTCCAGAAGATTCCTCTGTTGATGGTCACAGGAGACTGAGTCTGCTCCACATCCAATGTTTTATCTTCTATTTACTTATTGGACTATTGAAGATCCGGGATCATGGACATTGTTTAACCATTTATTATTTACACTGCAGTGCATGTCACACACATGCGTTTTTCTTGTCGGTATTCTTTGCACATTGCATCACATTGATTCACAGTTCATATTTAGTGCACTTGATTTTTTATCATGGATATTTTGTAGCAATTACATTTACACTGCAGTGCATGTTACACACATGCGTTAGCCGATGATATAATATCGGGGGAGGGTAATAGACATGGAATCTGAGGCTCTCACATTACGGGGGGGACTGGGGTAAAATAGGGGGAGGGGCATTGATATTGGGGGAGGGGCAACCAGATGGCAGATGAGGTTCAATGCGGATAAATGTAAAGTTGGGCACTTTTAGGGTTAAAAAAGAAAGTGGATTGCACATTATTGGGGCGCTCCGCTGGGGAAATGGGGGTGATTGTAGATCACGGGCTGAAGAATAGCTTGCAGCGCCAGGCTGAGGCACACAAAGCTAGCAGGGTCTTGTCCTGTATAAGAAGGGGATGTATTGCAGGGACAAGTCTATAATTGGCCTCTTTATAGATCATTGGTTCGGCCTCATCTGGAGTACGCGGTCCAGTTTTGGGGACCAGTCCACGGAGGGGATGTCCTCGCAACCAAACTCATAAAGGGGAATTGAGGACCTGAGCTATGAGACAAGGAGGAGGGGCTGGAGGATCTGAGCTGTGAGACACGGGGGAGGGGCTGGAGGACCTGAGCTATGAGACATGGGGGAGGGGCTGTGCTGTGTGACACGGGGAGGGGCTGGAGGACCTGATTCGGTGGGGGAGGGCTCTCCACGGTCCCCCTCGGTGGGGGAGGGCTCTCCACGGTCCCCCTCGGTGGGGGAGGGCTCTCCACGGTCCCCCTCGGTGGGGGAGGGCTCTCCACGGTCCCCCTCGGTGGGGGAGGGCTCTCCACGGTCCCCCTCGGTGGGGGAGGGCTCTCCACGGTCCCCCTCGGTGGGGGAGGGCTCTCCACGGTCCCCCTCGGTGGGGGAGGGCTCTCCACGGTCCCCCTCGGTGGGGGAGGGCTCTCCACGGTCCCCCTCGGTGGGGGAGGGCTCTCCACGGTCCCCCTCGGTGGGGGAGGGCTCTCCACGGTCCCCCTCGGTGGGGGAGGGCTCTCCACGGTCCCCCTCGGTGGGGGAGGGCTCTCCACGGTCCCCCTCGGTGGGGGAGGGCTCTCCACGGTCCCCCTCGGTGGGGGAGGGCTCTCCACGGTCCCCCTCGGTGGGGGAGGGCTCTCCACGGTCCCCCTCGGTGGGGGAGGGCTCTCCACGGTCCCCCTCGGTGGGGGAGGGCTCTCCACGGTCCCCCTCGGTGGGGGAGGGCTCTCCACGGTCCCCCTCGGTGGGGGAGGGCTCTCCACGGTCCCCCTCGGTGGGGGAGGGCTCTCCACGGTCCCCCTCGGTGGGGGAGGGCTCTCCACGGTCCCCCTCGGTGGGGGAGGGCTCTCCACGGTCCCCCTCGGTGGGGGAGGGCTCTCCACGGTCCCCCTCGGTGGGGGAGGGCTCTCCACGGTCCCCCTCGGTGGGGGAGGGCTCTCCACGGTCCCCCTCGGTGGGGGAGGGCTCTCCACGGTCCCCCTCGGTGGGGGAGGGCTCTCCACGGTCCCCCTCGGTGGGGGAGGGCTCTCCACGGTCCCCCTCGGTGGGGGAGGGCTCTCCACGGTCCCCCTCGGTGGGGGAGGGCTCTCCACGGTCCCCCTCGGTGGGGGAGGGCTCTCCACGGTCCCCCTCGGTGGGGGAGGGCTCTCCACGGTCCCCCTCGGTGGGGGAGGGCTCTCCACGGTCCCCCTCGGTGGGGGAGGGCTCTCCACGGTCCCCCTCGGTGGGGGAGGGCTCTCCACGGTCCCCCTCGGTGGGGGAGGGCTCTCCACGGTCCCCCTCGGTGGGGACACCCCTGTACTTAGATGGTGACCCCACAATGTAGACGGAATCAGAAGTCTCCAATGAGAGGAAGCCCCTGGAGCGGGGTTCTGATTGTAGGGATCGAGTGAGTCCCCGGCACAGAGGTCGGCTCGGGTACAAATCCCCCCAATAGCGGAGAATGGGAAGGGGAGGAGGTCCCCCAACACCCCTGCAAGGGTAGGGATCAGAGTCCTGAGGACGAACATGCCGGATCACATTGTCTGCAGGTGAGGGGAGTTTCCAGGACCCGAGGATGGGGACAGCGGGCGGAACCCCCATAGGGAGCAGAACATTCATAAGGCCCACAATGGTTCCTTGTATGTCTGAGGTGATGGCGGGAGAGGCGATTCTGGTGGCCCCGGGCCCTGCTAAGGCCATGAGGAAGTCAGAGATGGACTCTGCCGGGGTAAGAACGGGGGAGGGTTGGGGCCACTGTGCTCCGTATCTCCAATGACAAAGGACGGGACTCGGCCTTACCGGACACGGAACTCCAACGATGCTTCCCCAGTGGTGGGCGGAGCACAGGGCAGGCGGGACGATACTTCCCCCAGTGGTGGGAGGAGCACAGGGCAGGCGGGGCGATGCTTCCCCCGGTGGTGGGAGGAGCACAGGGCACGAGGCGCAATGCTTCCCCAGTGGTGGGCGGAGCACAGGGCAGGCGGGACGATACTTCCCCCAGTGGTGGGAGGAGCACAGGGCACGAGGCGCAATGCTTCCCCGGTGGTGGGAGGAGCACATAGCAGGCGGCGCGATGCTTCCCCCGGTGGTGGGAGGAGCACAGGGCAGGCGGGGCGATGCTTCCCCTGGTGGTGGGAGGAGCACAGGGCAGGCGGCGCAATGCTTCCCCCGGTGGTGGGAGGAGCACAGGGCAGGCGGGGCAATGCTTCCCCCGGTGGTGGGAGGAGCACAGGGCAGGCGGCGCAATGCTTCCCCCGGTGGTGGGAGGAGCACAGGGCAGGCGGCGCAATGCTTCCCCCGGTGGTGGGAGGAGCACAGGGCAGGCGGGGTGATGCTTCCCCTGGTGGTGGGAGGAGCACAGGGCAGGCGGGGTGATGCTTCCCCTGGTGGTGGGCGGAGCACAGGGCAGGCGGGGTGATGCTTCCCCTGGTGGTGGGCGGAGCACAGGGCAGGCGGGGGGATGCTTCCCCTGGTGGTGGGCGGAGCACAGGGCAGGCAGTTCCCTCTCCAGTCTCGGTGGCGCTCGGCCTTCTCACAGAGACACCACTGAACCCTGAAGGTCACTCCTCCCCCCGGAAGTGGCTGTAAAGAGGCTGCAGGAGATCAGCAGCACTGAGTTGGGACAAATGAGGAACAAAAAAAGTCAAAAAGAAAGTTTATTTAAAAATAAAAATAAATCATTCTCTAGAATACAGAGAACTACAACTTCCATCATTCCCCGAGAGACAGGTCCGCACCACACACAGCAGAGACTGCACGAGGATTTATTTCACTATTTACAGGTGAACCCGGAGGGCAGACATGTGGGAGCGTCATCCCCATCCCCGGCTTCACCAACTCGCCGAGGAAAGCTGAATGTTGTTTTAGGGTAGTGACTCACTGTCTGGTGACGCCAGGGATCGGG